TCGAGAGTTGCAGCAGTGTGGTCAGCTTCGTCTTGCTTACGCGGCCTCTCGGGCCAACACTGCTGATATCTTCACCAAGGCACTCCAGCCTTGTGATCATCAGCGTTTCTGTACTGTTCTAGGCCTTGTGCCTACTTGGCCTCACTTGCTCTCTTCTTGACTTTGCTTGTACTGTTATCTATATGCTTATACCTGCATGCTTACACTTGCTAGGTTTTGATCACTGTACTGCTTGTTCTGCTTTATATAACTCTGCATGTGAACTGGCCTTGTGGCCATTTGCTTGTGCTCATAATGTGTGGTAACTTCGTGATCCACCCTGAGCTTGCTTTGCTTTTCTTGACGGGTCTTGTGACCTCTTGTTCTCCCCCACTTTGCCTATGGGGGTGTGTCAAACTTATATGCTGCTTATTGTGTAGGCTATAGTGGGCTAGCCCATATGGGGTACAACCCAATTAGGGTTAGTACTTGTACCCATCCTGCTGTTAGTCAATTCATTCTCGTTTATTCTGTTGACAGTAAAATGCCGTGCCCATCCAGCGTCGTTGCGAGCATTTCCTGTGTAAACCCGAAATTCCCCCCGCAGCGAATCTTCACTCTCTCCACTTTTTCCCGTATAGCCAGTGGCGTGCCGTAAACTAAGCGTGCGTCGATCTCCGGTAAACAGCGGCTAAGTGCCAGATGCAGTTTCCGTGCCGTCGCGGTATTAACTAAGCTGTGACTTGCTCCTCCGTCAATAAAAATCTTCGCTGCTACCCCCTGTATTTTCCCGTGAATCTGTATTGGGCAATCTGTCGCTGTACCCTCCTTATTCAGCCGAGCCCGATCGATTGCATGAATCGGTACTGTGACTCCGTGAGGGTCAGTGAGGTCGGGCGAGCAGTGAGTCTCGTCAGTAGTGGGCTCGTACTCTACTGACTGTTGGCGTTTCCCGCCTCCCAGACTCCCTCCCCTGCTCTGCTCCACGGCGCCTTAGCTCCTCTGGGCATTCGCTCTTGCGATGGCCCGGCCTGTTGCACGCGAAGCAGCGCCCTTTAAACGGCGCGACAGCTGCATTCGTCGCAACGGCGTGTACAGTGGCGTGCTTGGTCGGTCCCCGAGGGCGATGTCCGTAGTAGGACCCCGATCTCGGACGGTGTAGGATGTCGATTTTCTCCGCTAGCGCCAAGATTTCGTTGAAGTTCGAAATCCCGCGAAGAAGAATCTCTTGCGAGATTTCCGGCTTCAGGCCGCCGACGTAGCGATCCACTCGCTCCGCTTCGTGCATGTAGCCGACTTGCTCGCACAGCGCGAAAAAACCGCTGGTGTAGTCTTGGACCGACCCAAGCTGTCGCCAAGTGCGCAGCTTCTGACGTGCTGAAATCGAGGCCGTGATTGGCTCGAAGCGCGTCCGAAGCCCTGCGCACCACGCGTCCCACGTGCTTTACTGGGCCGTCTCGCAGAATGAACTCCAGGTGACGGCTGGGCCCGCGGGCCCTTCCTCTTGCGACAATGGCTCGTAGGCGCGTGGCGACGTCACGATGACTCGCCACCAGTCCATGGCGGGGCCCCGCAGGAACGATACGGCGTACCGGATCTTCGCTGTATCCGACGTGACGTAGTTCGCGTAAAAAAACACGTTCATCGTGAACACCCACGATTGAACCGTCGGACCTCCACGCTGGCTAGGATCGTAGCAGGGCGGGCGTTGCGGCTTGAGTGACATCGGCTCACCAATGTCGTCGTTGCCGGCTGATGTCGCAAATCCGACGTGACGACGGGCCTCGCGAGTCACATTTACGCCCGATGTGGCCCTGGCTCTCTCCATGCCCGGCATAGATTGGGCGGCGCCGTCGCTGGCTGCGCTTGAGCACTATCCCACGCTGGCGTGCTGCGACGGTGTGCCGGATGAGATGATAATCGGCTCCTCCGATTGTGCAGGTGCATTTGCAGGTGCTGGTGCTGGTGCATTCACCGTTGATTGCTGTCGGGCGGAGTCGCGTTCCGCCATGAGTCGCAATTTCGAGCGTCGATTCCTCGAGCTGGCGCACGAGTTGGTCGAGGCGTTCTTGCGTCAACGTTGCAAGGTTGAAGTCGGCCATGGCGGGGGTGTCGGGCGAGCTCAGCGAGAGCCTCTGTCGTGGCTGGGTGTGCTTACGAGAAGGCACACGGGCAGCGGTGCTTGATCGCTGAGAGACGTCTACCCCCCCCCCAAAAAATGAGATAGTGGGGAAGCGAAGGTGTGGGTGCGGTCCGAGAAGAGATCGTAGGCTTTGAATACCAAGTGTTACGAGTGCAATTGAGTGAGCGAGCGAGAATTGCAGTATCGAAGCAAAAATACAATGAGCGAAGGAATGAGCGAACAATATATAGCGAAAGCCTAGCTTGGTAACGGTCATGCGCGAGAATGTGGTGCGCAACGGGCCTAGCGCCGATGTTGGGAAATGTCGAGGCGGAGGACCGGAGCGCGGGTTACCAACCGATCCGTTAGGTTGGGTCGCGAGGTGTACAGTGGCGGGAGCAATGGTCGAGGCGAGTGTCGCGAGCGGGTAACGTTTCACTGTTGGGTGCCTTTGGCGGGAACCGTCGTGTACGCGATAAGCAGGGGCGCGAAGTAAGGAAAAGGAATTTTCCTTACAATAACGCAGTGTACACCTGTGTAAGATCATTATACCCTTTCGACGGTGGAGCACCACTCAGCAGATGATTTCCCGCGCGTTTTTCGTGCGTTTGGACTGGAAGAAATCTAGGGTTTCGTGAAGCTTCTCGTGCTTGATCACATGCAGCTGAACTTGCCTGGAGTTTGCATCATCACCAGTGGGCAACCTGATTTGAACCTTGGCTTGGAGTCTCATCTCAATGCTGGTCAGACCTGGACGAGACTAAGGAAGGCAGGAGGAGCTTTGTAACGTGGCGTGTCCGCGTAGTTAGCGATTATTTCCGCCACTTTCCTAGTATCCTAAGCCGTTTATATTCGAGATCTGAGTTTTTTGCGAAGGCTAAGGCCATGGCATCGGGTTATGGCCGCTCACCCTACGACTCCGTTCGCCAGTTCGACTCGCAGCCTCCCGCTCGCAGCGGTTACGATTCCTTGGATCGCGACCGTCCATCCGCTCACGCTTCTTATCGCGAACGGTCCCGATCGCCTCGACGATCCGACAGTCTCGCCGGCGCTTCACGCGATCGTGAACGCTATGCTGTAACTGACCGGTCTGGATTTGCCGGAAGGGACCGGGAGCGCGAACGGGACAGAGAAGCCGGCAGATCCTACGATCGTGACAGGGACAGGGATAAGGACAGTTATCGCGACCGGGACCGTGAAAAGGATTCTTCTCGCGAAAGGGAGAAAGATCGCGATAGAGGCGACGGTCGAGATCGACCCTCAGGATTCAGCGACCGGTACGATTCTGCCGGCCGGAGCAGCAGCACCGGTTACCGTGACGACAAGTACGACCGCGATCGTGACGACCGGTACGACCGCGATCGTGATGATCGGTACGGCGTGTCTGGCAGCAGGTTCGGCGGCGGAGGACCTATGGGGATGGGAGGTCCGCCGTTAGGTCCGCGCGGAATGGGAGGTCCGGGAGGAGGTCCGGGAATGAGCGATCGGTGCAACGCCTGCGGCGGGGTGGGGCACTGGGCGCGCGAGTGCCCGAGCAAGTTCGGCGCGCGAGGCGGGTTCGGCGGAAGGTTCGGCGACGATGGGATGGGACCCAAGTGCTACGAATGCGGACGGAGGGGACACGTGGCACGAGAGGTATGTCCCAGGGGAAGTTGGTCATGTTCACGAAGCTAGTCGGTCATGTTCGATCCATTCCTTTTTTATTGTTCTGTTGTTTTTGTTCTTTATGTTTCAAGCTCACTGAGTGTTCGCTTCACGTCGTCGCGGTATTTTCCTGTACTCTCGTATCCTGCTTTCCTCGTCGCCTTATTACTATGCCGTATTATGTCTCCCTGGAAGTTGGTCACTTGGAGCAGACTTGGTTGATCCGGTCGTTTTGTAGGGTTAGTTGGACGAAGAAAGGGCAGCAGTCGTTGCCTTTCTTGTGGTGAAGGGAGAGGGAGATGGGGAGGGAGAGGGAGAGGACAAGGGAGCGAAAAAGGAAAGGGGGAGAGGCAGGAGTCGTTAGGAAAGCACAGCACCTGTGCAACACTTGGAAGTGGCGTGTCTGCATGTGTGCGCTTGCTCCTTCTCCTTCTGATTCTGGTTCTTCCTTGCGGGGCTTTATATGAAGCAACGGCGAAGGTGAGTAGCACGCCACTTCCAAGTGAGTAGCCGTTTGGATTAGAGGAGTAACGATGTGGGATGGCAGGGTAAGGGGAGGGTGAGGTGTGGGAGAAGGAGGGCGACTGGGAGGGCTGGACGCTGAAAACCATGGAGGTGAAGCGGAGTGGAGAAACTGGAGAGGGTGGAATGGAGTGGGGTGGAGAGAGGTGGAGTGTGGTGGCGGGGAGGGAGGTGGAGTGTGGTGGCGGGGAGTGAAGTGGACTGGAGCGGAGTGGGATGGAGTGGAGTGAGGTGGAAGGTGGAAGGGTGATGAGGGGGTGGCGGAGGTATGCACGGGAAAGTGGGCAGCGGGGAAAGACAAGGAAGAGTCGAGAAGTTGGACGAATAGGGGTGGGGCGGGCCGGGGCGAGGCTTGGGGAGGGGGCGGAAGAGGGGGGAGAGTTATGAGACACGTGTCATGCAGTGCACTGCCTCTCCTTGCTTCCAACGCTCTTCGCCCAGCTTTCCTCCTAGCCTCCCGATCGAGGTGCGCACCTCGCAATAAAAGCGTAGATTTCACGTTAAGGTGGGTTTTCTGTAATAGTCGGCTTACAAGACGCGGTGCTGACTTGCGAATACCCCTTTCCGTCCGTGAACTGGTTTCCAGTGCGAGTCCATGCGTCTCCCTGCCGGCCGGTGCACCGTCTCGTCCTCCCTCTCTACCCCTCATCACCCCTCTGCATCCCTGCAGGGTGTCAGTCACAAGCAGGGGATCCCTGAAAGGCCTATAGAGCTGAGCTGATAGTCTGCAACGATGTGCACCCCTCTTTACCCCTCTCGTCCTCCCTCAACCGCTCGTCACCCGTTTGAACCTCTGCAGTGTCAATTCAAGCAGGGCAACCCCGACGGGCCCATAGAGCAGCGCTGCTACGTGTGCAACGAAGTGGGTCACATCGCCCGCGACTGCCCCGCCAAAACACCCCTCGGCGCCCCCATCGGAGCCATAGGCTCGGGCCGAGCCGGGCCCGGGTTCGGCCCAGGCTCGGAGTTCGGTCAGGACGGGTGCTACTACTGCGGCAGGAAGGGGCACTTTGCGCGGGAATGCCCGGAGAAATTTGGCGGCGGCGCGCCGATGATGCCGCCGGCGGCGGCGATGGCGGCGGCGGCTGCAGCAGTGGGAGGGCTGGGTCCGGGGATGCAGGATCGGTGGATGGGGGGGCTGGGGGCGGGGATTGGGGCGTTCAGGCCGGGATTTCCGCCGGGGATTGCGGCGTTTGGGGCGCCGATAGGGACGGGGTTTCCGCCGCAGGTGGTGCGGCCGGTGGGAGACGGGTGCTATGAGTGCGGCGAGCCGGGGCACTTCGCCCGAGAGGTACGCCGCTTCGCTCCCGTGCTGTATCATACACTTACGGAAAATGCTATATGTGCGGATCACGCCTGGTTCAGTGATGAATTTTGCGTTGTCCTTCTATCATCCCCACCTCCCCCTTCAACCCCCCCACCCCCTCCCCCCCACCTCCCTATCCTCCCTCCTCTCCTTCCTCTCCCCTTCCCTCTCCGCTGCCCGTTCGCACTGTTTTTCTCTTCCCTCCATCGTTTTGCCTTCCTTTCTCGCAACCTGCTGCCCCTCTTGTTCCGCTTCAGCTTATGCCTTGCTTGTTGATCGCGCCGCTTTTTAAAACCGTACCAGTCTTGACGTATCTTTTTATTTCCCACTCTCCCCACCTTTCCCCTTTCCTCCCCCCATTCCCGCCCCCCGTCCCGCCCTCCCCCACCCGCTTCCCTGCTGCCCCCACTCGTTCTCTTCCCCGCGCCTGTCTCCCCGCAGTGCCCTTCCCGGTCGCGGCGCTTTGCGGAACGGGCAGCGGCGGCGGCGGGGGCAGCGGGGATTGCAGTGGCGGGGACGGGGGCAGAGGGGCGGCGCATAGCTTCCAAGGCAAGTGGGAGGGCGGCAGAGGAGGCGCTTAATAATGAGCTGGAGACGTACATGAAGGTACACTCGGTCTAGGTGTTAATTATGGTGCTGGTGTAGGCAGTTGGATGATAGAGGCGGAGATTGTACGTAGGGAGCGTTGGGTTCCCATGCTGTCAGGTGGAGTGTTGTTTCAATCCAATACATGTGTGGGCTCGAAAAGCAAGGTAGCAAAGAGTGGAATTAAGGGCGGAAGTGGAGGGATTGCAGTGGCGGGGACGGAGGCGCTTAATAATGAGCTGGAGACGTACATGAAGGTACACTCGATTTCTTTAATTCTGGTTCTGGTGTAGATCGACTCGATTTAGTTACGGGAGGCGCGTAGTACTGAGCTGGAGACGTACTTGAAGGTACATTCGGTTTCGTGGTTATACACTGAGGTGTTAGTTTTGTTCGGGTGTATTTCTACTCTTTAGAGGCAGAGGAGGCGCTTAATATTGAGCTGGAGATGTATACGAAGGTATTCTAGCTCTGGCGTTGATCAACTCATATTAACCACAGGAGGTTCGTAGTAATGAGCTGGAGACGTACGCAAAGGTACAGTAGTTTTCGTAACTATGTAAGTGTTAATTCTGGAGCGGGTGTAGATGGCCCTGTAGAAACGCAGGACACAGTTAGACAGTGAGCTGGAGACAAAACCTAGGGGAGGGTTGGGTTTCCATGCTGTTGGGTGGAGTGTTGTTCCTCCCAACACATGCGTGAATGCATGTTTTGGCTCGAAAACCAAGAGGAGCAAAGAGTGGCCGTATAGGCGGAAGGTAAAGAAAAAAACCGAAAGATGACCAGTTTGCTTCCTGTCTTAAGGCAATTCTTGAAGAATCACAGCACCAACATTGTTTTTTTCCAATTGGCTTTCTTTGTTCTTGTGGGCGTTGCTGCAGGACAAGGCTAGGGATGGGGGCAGCAGTGAGGAGAGGGAGGAGGAGGGCAGGAGGCGCGGCGGGAGGGAGAAGGATGCAGAGGGAAGAGACGAGGTAAGAGGAGGGCGGAAAGGGGGAAAGGATTCCAGTGATAGCGACAGTGGTGTGCGGAGGAAGGGGAGAAGTGAGAAGAGGGGAGGCGACAGGAGTAGCAGGAGGAAGCGCTCTCGATCGCGATCGAGCAGTAGCCGGTCCAGGTCGGTGGGTAGTAGTCGATCGAGCGGCTCGTCAAGATCGAAATCGAAATCTTCCCGGTCTCGGTCGAAATCCTCGCGCTCGCGATCGAAGAGTAGATCGAAATCGTCGCGGTCGAAATCCTCGGGGTCGTCTCGGTCGTCCAAGTCGAGGAGTTCGAAATCGAAGAGCGGGGGTTCAAAGGGTGGGGAGGCGAAGAGTGGGGGTTCGAAGAGCACGGGGTCTTCTTCTCGGCGCAAGGGATCGCCGTCCGCCAGTGATGCGTCGTCTGGGAGGGATAGGAAGGGTGGCGGCAAGCGGCGGAGCGACTCCGAGGAGGTTTCGAAGAGTGATGATGCGGGGAGGGAGATTGAGGGGAGGAGGAGAGGAGGGAAGGGGGAGGGGCGGGAGGAGGAGAAGAGGGAGAAGGGGAGGGAGGGAGGAGAGGAAGAGGGGAGGAAGGAGGAGGAGGGGGGAACCGGGAGCAGGGGAAAGGAGGGTGGAGAGGAGGGGGGGAAAGGAGGGCAGGACAGGAAGCAGGAGGCAGCGGAGCAAGGTAGGGGGGAGGAAGGAGCAGAAGGGGGAGAAGCAAGAGGAGCAGGTGGGTTGAGTGAGCGGCGAAATGAGGGGAAGGCAGCAGAGGGAGATAAAATGAACGAGGATAAAGGGGAAGGGGTGACTGCAGGGGGTAAGAGGGCAGGGGCGCCTGAAGACGTGGGTAAGGGAGGAGCTGGAGGTGCTAGTGATGGTGTGAGGGGGGAGGATGCAGGAAACAAGCGCAAAAGGACGAGTGAGGGTGAGAATACAGGTGGGAGTGTGGGGGAGGGAGGGGGCGAGGAGATGAGCTTGGGGCTGGATGCTATAGCAGCGGCAGCAGAGGCTGAGGCGGCTGGGGCAGAGGCTGAGGAGGGAGGGAAGGAGGGGACGGAGGGACGTAAGTTGCTTGATTTGAATGAGATGGAAGGAGGAAATGATGGGCGTGTGGATCAAGGAGGGCATTGATTGGTTTGGGCCCTGCACACGCTCAGGTGTGTGTTGGATGTGCATTTTGCGAGTTGCATTTTTGGCAAGTGGGCGTTACTCAGCTGGTATGCTCGAATCATTGAAATAATGTGAAAACTGTGCACTTCTTATGCTGTGTTGGTTCTCATTGGTGCAGGGCCAATGGGGTTCTCGGTATGAGGATTAGCATTTGGTTATCTGTGTAACAATGGACATGCTTGACTTTTGTTGAGAACTTTGTTTAGAATCATACCAGGAATGATATCTGACTAATTCGTGTTTTTTTACAAGCAAAGTAAAGTAAAGTTATAGGGGAAACCCCCTTTGGTATTACCCCGGCTGTCGGTCATAGCCCGCCTCCCCATGTGTTTACACGCCTCGCTGGGTAACGAGGTTGTTCTATCCACTCCCAGATGAGCACCTGTGTAGTCCCTTTTAGTGGGGACTGGGGATTTGATCCCGGGACCTCATCTTTCGGAAGTGAACCAGCTAACTAGCTGGGCCACTTCAGGATAAATGTTTTACAAGCCAGATAATTTTTTTTTTACAAGCAGCCGCAGTTCCAGTCGCCTAAAATTCCAGGCGGAAGTGTTAAAGTTACTAGCTAGATGAGTGAGTTCGATTAGGTAAGGGGGGGGTACAAGGACTATCGAGAGAGATTGTTGTACCCTCTAAGGAAAGAACCCTACACAACCTAGAGTGAAATAAGCAGAACAATATGTTTTGACACACCCCCATAGGTGAAGTAGGGGATAGCCAAGCCTAACAGTGGTCACAAGACCAGTCAAGCAAGAGAACAAGCAAGGCAAAGCCCAGGGTGGATCTCAAGGACACCACACAATCTGAGCACAAGTAGGCAGCCACAAGGCCAGTTCACATGCAGATTTATAAGAGCAAGTCAGTACACAGATCACAACCTAGCAAGAGGAAACATGCAGGTATAAAGATATATAGCAGTGTACAACAAGAGCAAGTCAAGCAACCAGCAGGTGAGGCAGAGTGGGCACAAGCCCAAGATCAGTGCAGAAACGCTGATGATCACCAGCCGCGAGGGCCTTGGTGAAGACATCAGCAGTGTTGGCCCGAGAGGCCACGAAAGCAAGGCGCAGCTGACCACGCTGCTGCAGCTCACGCGCAAGGAAGTAGCGCAGAGCAATGTGCTTCGTTCTGTGCTCCAGTCTCTGTTCGCGACACAAGGCAAGCATTGCCTTGTTGTCGACGTACAGAACTGGAGGAGAACGAGGCCGCTCCCCCAAGTCGGTCAGCAGGTAGGTCAGCCAGCGGAGCTCCTGTGCAGCCATGGCCCCAGCGTAGATCTCGGCCTCACAGCTGGAACCAAGCACAGAAGAAGAACGAGTGGACCTCCACGAGACAGAACCAGCGCCAAGACTGAAGGTGTAGCCCTGTGACGAACGCTGAGTCGCCTGGTCGTCAGCCCAAGAAGCGTCAGAGTGTCCTGTGAGGACCACGGGACCCCGTCCTCCAAGCACGAGCCCCATGCCCGATGTGCTGCACAAGTAACGCAGTACACTCTTCGCAGCATCAAAGTGCACCTTTCGGTGCCTGCCGGGTGCCACGTAGCGAGCCAGAAGGCTGAGAGGATACGCGAGGTCAGGTCGTGTGCACGTCATCAGGTACATGAGGCAGCCCACAAGCTCTGGGTACGGACCACTCGACTCTACGGACTCGTCCGAAGGTGGAGCTGAGAGCGAGTGGCCGGTAGCCAGAGGAGTGGGCTGTGGCGAGGAGTACGGGAAGCGGAAGCGCTGAAGGACCTGGTGCACCATGTGTGACTGAGTCAGGGTGATGGTGCGCCGTGCTCTGTCCCGGGTGATCTGCAAGCCAAGATAGCTCCGCAGCTCACCCAGGTCAGTGCAGGTGTGTCTCTCCTGCAGCTCCGCCTTCACTAGGGTCAGTGCCTCAGTGTCAGCAGTAGCAAAAACCAAGTCGTCGACGTACACGAGGATGTAGAACGGCGGCACAGTAGTGTCGGTGCGTAGAAACAGCGACGGGTCAGCAGTCGAAGGAGCAAACCCAAGAGCCGCAAGTGTCGTCCTCAGTGTGTCGTGCCACTCACGGGGCGCTTGACGCAGGCCGTACACTGGTCGCCGTAGGCTCCACTGGGTACCCGCAGGAAACGACCCAGTGAAGCCCTGTGGACGGCGCAACCAGATGGCCTCGTGAAGGCTACCCTGCAAGAAAGGTGTCGAGAAGTCGAGGGAGTGCAGCTCGTAGTCACGCTGAGCTGCAACGTGTAGCAACACCCGAAGAGTGGTCATCTTCGGGGTGGGGGAGAAGGTCTGAAAGAAGTCGACCCCCTCACGCTGACTGAAGCCTCGAGCAACGTAACGTGCCTTGGAGGCAGGCGGAGAACCCGGCGGCCGCTTCACCCTGAAAATCCACATGCCACTGACGATGTTCGCCCCAGGTGGGGGAACCTCGTCAACGTAGGTGCCTGTGGACTTCCAGGAAGCCATCTCTGCATCCATGGCTGTCTGCCACTGAGAGGAGTACTCACCCGAAATCGCCTCCCTGTAGGAGCGCGGGGTGGGGATGTCAAGTGCATCCGGGTCTCCCTCAGGGGCAAGCAGCATGGTCGCGTGATGGGGTGAAACGGCAGCAAGGCACTCCAACTCCTCCTGTCTGTCCTCAAGAACGTCACAGCCAAGGGCAGTGCAGCCAAGAGCAGTCTCACCCCCGACGGACGGAGGACAGGCAGGGACAGGGTCAGAGACAAGACTCGCAAGGTAGTCTAGGCAGTACACAGCAGCAAAGTCAACGAGCTCAGCTACTAGGGCAGACGCAGCAGGAGACGAGAACGTAGGGTCCGTCACAACCGTAGCAAGAAGGCGAGTAACAGTCGGACTGGACGCACGAGTAAGGTCAGACGGAGGGTCAGCAACGTCAGGCAAAGAGGACGCAGGAGGTAACGGTAGGACAACACGCTGAGGAACAGAGGAAGGACGGAGTGTCATATCGTGAGTGCCGGGGACAGCCGGAGCACGCTGACGATGAACACGAGGAACACGAGCACGGACAGCAGCTCTAGGCTCAGGCTCAAGGTCAAAGCTAGACACAGGCTCTCGACGCTCAGGGGTGGAAGCACGAGTCTCAGGCTCTCGACGCTCAGTCAGGGACTCTGACACCGCAGTGTAAGGAGCAAGAGCAGGCAGTGGGGAGTGTGGTAGCAGCGGCGGCTGTGACTGGTCCGCCGGTGGACACAGCAACGGAGGAGTAGTACCTGCCACAGGGAAGCCAGTAGCACCTGGCTGAAGACTGAGAAGGTGGCGAAGAGCACCAGTAGCTCCACCAGGACCTCCAGCACCTCCAGCCCCAGCAGCTTCGGCGCCTCCAGCACCAGCAGCTCCAGCAGCTCCACGAACTCCAGCACCAGCAGTACCTCCAGTACCTCCAGCACCATCAGCTCCACGACCTCCAGCACCAGCAGCACCTCCAGTACCTCCAGCACCAGCAGCTCCACCAGGACCAGCAGCACCTGCAGCTCCCCGACCTCCAGCACCAGCAGCACCTCCAGTACCTCCAGCACCTCCAGGACCTCCAGCACCAGCAGCACCTCCAGGACCTCTAGCACCAGCAGTACCTCCAGTACCTCCAGCACCAGTAGCTCCAGGTCCTCCGGTAGGAGCTCCGACGACACCAACACCAGAAGGACTAGCAGCACCCCCAGAGTCAGCACCCGAACTCGAAGCACCCCCAGAGGCAGCACCCTCGGTCTCAGCACTCGCAGGCTCAGTACCCTCAGTCGCAGCACCCTCAGGCCCAGTACCCTCAGTCCCAGCACCCCCAGGCTCAGTACCCACAGTCCCAGCACCCCCAGGCTCAGTACCCTCAGTCCCAGCACCCCCAGGCTCAGTACCCTCAGTCTCTGCTCCAGTGTCCACAGCAGCAGGCTGCAGAGGCGGCGAAGACGGCAGAGGTGGGAACCCGGGGGGTGTAGCCAGACGAGGAGAGCGGGCACCCCCGGACTCACCACCCCCAGCCCCAGCTCCAGTAGTCTCAGCTCTAGAGTCCACAGCAGCAGGCTGCGGAGGCGGCGAAGACGGCCGTGGCGGGAAACCCGGAGGGGGTCTCCAAGCGAGGAGTGCGGCGAGTGGTCGCCGTGTCGTCGGCGACGGCGTCACCCCCCTCAGGTGAGTCAGAGGAGTCAGAAGAGATCTCAACTGGCTCATCCAAGGGGGGTGGGTCTACCTGGGACACACCTGAGGGAGCAGGACCCTGTGGGGGAAGGGGGTCTACCGGGGGGGGGACTGGTACCAGGAAGAGAGGTGCGAGAGGGACCGGGTGGGACGCGTGCGGGTGAAGTCGGTTGTAACAGACCGACTCGTCAAAGGTGACATCCTGAGAGGACAGAACACGACGCGAGGCAGGGTGGTAGAACTGCCAGGGTGGAGCATCGGTGGGGAAGCCCAGGAAGACACAGCGGAGAGTGCGAGGGGAGAGCTTGCTCGCTTTGGTATCGCGAACAAGGGAGAGCGCGCCCCAGACCCGAAACGACGACGCATCACCAGGCTGTCCCGTCCAACGGAGTGTGGGCGAGGTCTCTGGAGCAGAGACACGGGGCCAGAGGTTGAGCTGATGCGCGGCGTATCGGACCGCAAACGGCCACAGGAAATGGGGAGCAGCCGCATGGATCATGGAGGTACGAGCAACCTCCATGATCAGGCCAATGCGACGCTCAGCGATCCCATTTTGCTGCGGAGAGGCCGGAAGCGTGAACGACTGGCGGATGCCCTCATCCTGACAGAGCGTCTCAAGGACGCCAGAGGAGAACTCACCACCCCTGTCAGAGTGCAGACGCAGGACTGGGAAGTCCTGCTGAAAGCGCTCGTGCAGCTGGAGACGAGTAGCACGGATCCAGCGGATCAAGACACCACTGACATCCGCCTTGCGCCGCAAGGGGAAGACTGTGGTGTAGCGTGTGTAGTCGTCAACCACCAGCAGGAAGTAGCGCTCCTGGTCCGTTCCACCGACGGGGGCCGGGCCCCACACGTCCATGTGGAGAGTCTGCAGAGGAGCAGTGGTCGGAGGAAACTCGGAGGAGTGAGGAGCGGCGCGCTGCCGCCCCTCGACGCAAGGAAGGCACGGCGGCGCAAGTGAGCGCGGGAGGGGGGGCAGGGTCTCAGGGAGGCCAGTGACCAGGAGCCGGGAGTGCATGCGGCGCAGACGCTGCAGGGAGGGGTGACCAAGACGGTGGT